TCACCAAATGTGAAAAATAAAAACAAAAAGTCACAAGGCTTTATTATTACAGCAACCGTATAACACATATAAGGACGTGTCCTTACATTGCATGAAAACAAACCTGTGTGTATGTTACACATAACTCCAATAGGACTGTTTAGTCTGGCTTCTCCTTGTAGGGATGAACTTCCATGTCCCATGTCACTTCCAATAGTTCCTGCTCAAGCCTACATCAATAAACTGCTGTCATACAGCTCTGTTGCTCCATTGACTCTTCGCCACATCATCTGCAGTGTGTGTGTGTGTATGTGTGTCTTTTCAGAGGGTAGTGGGGTGGGGGTGGGGGGGGTAAGGTGAGATTCCGTTTAAACACCATTTATCTTTGTCTCTCTGCAGTCCCTTCACTTACGATTCTGGCCTGTCAAAACACACCCTCCCCAACGACTCGCAGGACACACACACACACGAGTACACACTCTCTCCAGATACCTGGCTTGCTCAGTCATCCCGAAACCACAGAGATGCTGGAGAAAGAGAGAGGGAGAGGGAGAGACAGGGAGAGAAAGAGAGAGGGAGGAGAGGAGGGAGCACTTTGACACTTAAATGGAGGACAGAAGAGAGGACATCTCTATTTTTTATCAGAAATGCGGCTCGGGCCCGAAAAAAAGCACCCTCGTAGCACATAACACATACCACCCACCCGGACTCTAAACACACATCTTCTTTGGTTTTGCCTCATTTGACAGTAGAGTTTGCCGATATCATGCGGTGCTATTTTTCACAATTTTGCATGAAAACTTTGAGCTTGTGCATCACTACAGTTTTGTGCTACTGTAAACAAAATCATTTTTTTGCAAATGCTAATGCACAGTTACTTTCTATTTGATCAATATAAAAAAAATAGGAAAACAAATAGTAAGTGTGGCATGTGCAAAAGTTTGGACATCATTTCAGTTGTAAAATCTCGGAACTTAGTAAACTTGTTAGGACTGCTTAGGCAGGTCAGGACTTCAAGTGAGAAACCATAAATTAATCATTCGACCCATTTTTTTTTGGACTAACAGTTATTTTGTTATTTATTTTATTTTGTGCAAAATGTTACATTAAGAAACCAAACTATATTTATGTCTTAGTGACCCCTTTATTTTAAATCAAAAAATGCCATACCATACTTATATTTTTTTACAAAGAATGTCATATATACCTTTTTGTTGCAAGGGCTCAAATGTTAATAGAAACTGTCACAGTGTGTTCTCAAGGATGTTTTTCTTGACAACCATGGGTTGCTGTGCAGTTTGGTTGAGGATCTAAAAATGAAGCAAATTGGTGCCTACATTAAGCAGGGGAAGGCTATAAAAACCAGCTTGCAATTTCCACTGTCCAAAATGTCATCCAGAAATGGCTGTAAAGTGGAACTGTGAAAGTCAAGGCAAAATCCAGAAGACCAAGAAAACTCCCTGATAGAACGTATGCTGGCTAAAAAGGCAAAACAAAACCCTCATATGACAAAGAAAGAACTGCTGGAAAGTTTTGCTGACACAGGAGTGGTGGTGTATCATTCTGCTGTGCAGTGTCACTGACACAAACATGATCTGCATGGAAGAGACATCAAAAGGAAACTTTATCTGCAAACTCATTACAAAGGTCAGCGTCTGAAGTATGCCAAGCAACATGTAGATAGGCCAGAGACAATTTGGAAACGTGCTGTAGACCAATGAAGTAAAAATGGAAGCCACAACCACCAAAGATTTGTCTGGAGACAAAAAGGAGCAGCATTTTATGAGAAGAACACCTTGTCACTTGTTAAACATTAGGGTGGTTCTATCATACTTTGGGGTTGTGTGGCAGCCAGTGGCACAGGAAACATTGCATGGCTAAATGGAAAAAGGGATTCCACTGAACATCAGCAAAAAAAGCAATATCACTAGTGCACTATCATAACATCGCTTGCAGTATTACTGTGTGTGCAAGCTGTGATATCTGCCAAAGGAGGTGTTACCAAGTACTAAATTAGCAAGGTGTCTAAACCTTTCCACATGCCATAATTATTGTTTTTTTATTATTTAAGTTAATCAAATAATGACATTTTTGGAAAATATCATTTAAAAAAATATTTTTCTGTAGATGTCACTTTCCTTTGCATGTCAAAAATCCACAAAATACACAATTTGGCCAGGGGTGCCCAAATTTTTACATACAACTGTATTGATTAAGGACTTTAAATGTTCCATATCAGGGAAAGACATTTTTTTATAATAAAAGAATGTAGTATAAACATGTAAATAACAGAATATAATAATATGTTTATTTACAGACCATTTTACATGCCCATGGCTGCTCAAAGTTCTTAGACAGGTCATGAAGCTTAACAGATAGAAGAAACTGAGTATTAATTTATCAATCATAAAAGACACAGATCCAATTAAAAAGATAAATACTAAATAGATGTAGAATTTTATTTAAACCCTAAGTTAAAGAGATACATTTTTAGATGTTTCTTAAAAGTGATTACTGAGCTTGACTGTCTAATAAAAGGTGGAATTGAGTTTCACAGTTTAGAAGCGTATTAACAGAGAGGTGCCTTTCCACACTTTCTGTATTTTATGGAAGGTATTTGCAGAAGGTCAGGATCTGCAGATCTAAGATCACTGCTGGAACATAAACAGATGGACATTCTGTGGTGTAAGCAGGTGCTTTAAGGTCATGTAAAGCCTCAACAACTAGTAGCAGAACTGTAAAATCTAGAAGATACCGGTAGTCAGTGCGGTTCTTTCTAAATGGGAGTGATATGAGCGTTTTTGTGGATTTGTGCTGCTGCATTTTTTACAGCTTGAGAGGATGTATAGTTTTCTTGGGAAGCCCAGTAAGAAGATCATTACAGTAATCAACTTTGCTTGGAACAAATGCATGAACAAGTTTGTCTGCATTGCTTTGAGATAGAAGAAGCCGAACTTTAATGATTTCTCAAATGCTAAAAAAAGCTACTTTAGTGGCTGTGTTTACATGTGGGATAAAACAGAGCTCAGAATTTAAGATCACACCCAGGTTTCATACTTCAGGTTTGGTATAAGAAGCTAAAGAACTGAGCTTCTCATAAAGCAGCTTTGTCTGAGTTTTAGTACCAAGGAACAGTGTTTCAGTTTATTTGTGATTTAGTTGTAGAACATTTTGTGACATCCACTGAGAAATATCTGACGTGCACCAGGTAAGCCTGTCAGCAGTCTTGATTATCAAAAGGAATGGAAATGCATGTCATCAGCATAGCTATGGAAATTGAGATTATGTTTCCTAATGATATGACTTAGAGGCAGTATGTACAAAGAGAAAGGCATACCCGCTAACCCTTGTGAGACCCCAGAAGTTTTTTTGATGAATGATTTCCCAGTGAAACCAAAAATTGTCTATTCATTAAATATGATGTAAAACATTCTGATACTGTCTACCCAGTATTGAAGATGGTGGATTAGAATCTTGTGACAGTATCAAAAGCTGCACTGAAATCTAGATCAGTATAGAAGGATTTTGTGCATTAGTGGTAAGCCTGAGGAAATCACTCACTTCTCAGTCAGTGCAGTCCATATATGGAAACTAAGCTGCCAAAACAGCTCGTTTTGAATTTATTGTTTTGTGATGTCATACATCCACCAATTCAGCTTACAGCTGATTCACCCCACCCATTCATACTGAAGTTATAAAGAATGTTCCAGAACTGAGGCACAACAGTCCATCAGCTCTGTTGTATTTACATATGTCAGTTTTCAAGGCACAGTAACCAGAACAGACTCTGTAAGAGAGATTGGAAAATAGTCATGTAAAAATGAATTATGGCTGTTTTTATTGCATGAAACCACACAAACATCATAAACAGACCTCCGAGAAAACAGGAACATACAAGGAAAATGTAGGATGTGGGTCTGTTAAACGTAGACAGTAAAAGCAATCTACTTTAAAGGGTAATTCCACCAATTTTGCAAAATTCCTGCATAATTTAATCTTTGAGACGTAAAGTCGTTTGGAGGCGTTTTTTTGGGAAATGGTTCATTGTAGAAACTTAATGGCTCAGATTTCTTTTACAGTGGTGGTGGTAAATAGGAACCAGAGGTTGGAATGTCTACAAGACAAATATAGACATTTTATTTACTATCCAAAATGACCAGTCAAACTACACCTGTCTTCTGAGTTTTTTGTTGTTTCTATTGAAACAAAACCTTGTATCTCCAAAATTGTAACTTAACAGGAAAAGAAAAAAAAATGTTCTGAACATGTGATATAAGTTAATGTTGAAAGTAATTTTGTATCATTTCTTTTAGGCCATTTATCATACATTTTTAAAGCAGTGCAAAGTGCATAGTTAGCATAGCAAAGTTTCAAATTTTGCAAAATAGTAAAAAGCCACATTTTTTCCATGACAGTGATGATAATGTTAATGATGGTGAAATAGTGGTAAATCTGTGGAAAAAAAAGTTTTCTTTGGGTACTATTTTGCCTGTGTAACTGTGCCAGCCTGCATCTACCTCTCTGGCATTAATGTATTTTTAAAAATATCTTTTAGGCCTAATTTTCTCTCAAAAGTATTGTAAAACAATGGCACATGCAGTGTTTTGGCAAGTATTTCATGTACTAGCTTTCTGTGAGGGAACTTTTAGAATCATTAAACTCTTCAGACATCTGGTTTTTGTCACCACCACTGTAAACAATTCTGACTCGATTAGTTTCTTAATAATTGTGCATTTCACATCAAACCACTCTGAATGACTTTGTTTACAGCTTAACCATTTAATAATGCAGAAATTTTGAAAAATTAGTGGAATTCCCTTTTAAGCTGCATTTTTCTAAATAAAATAATAAAAGACAGAGGTTAACTGCAGCTGACTGAAGAGACATGACATGATTCAGAAACAAAGTAATATTAACCTAGGGACTGCCTGAAGAGGTAAGTCTTCAGACCCTGGTGAAAGGACATGAGTGAGGGGGAACTTTGTATTTACATTACCCTATTGGTGATCTCTCTCTTTCAGATCCTCCCTCCTCAGTCTTGCTTCCTGATCAGCTGCCACCATCACGGAGCTCCACGTCCCGCCCTCATCCTTACACAGGAACACTCCGGCCCTCACTCACCACCACCACTACCACTACCATGGCTCCACCCCGTCGCCGCGATGACGACAACTTCCTCCCTGAGGCCTTGACTCGGCCCCCTCCCTCAGTCCAGACACCTGTTGTCATTGACTACTGCTCCCCTCGCGTGACTGCCGAAATCTCCTGGCCCCAGACTCACCAGGGACAGGTTGCCAAGCAGCCATGCCCACCAGGCACCATAGGTAAGACTGAGATAGAGGTTCAGCTGTGTTTTGTATTTATCAAATGTAATGAGTAATTTATTTACAATGGTGGTTAGCAAGCTGTTGTTCTTTCACTAAATGTAGCTCAAAATAACTGAATAAAGTAATAGTAAACTAAGCTTACTCATGAAGTGCTCCAAAGCCCTCTAAACGCCTGTCGTTCATCATACACTCAAATTAGTTGGATCAGGTAAATCATTGAATTCAGGTGTTTCATTCAGTCTCATTGCCACAGGTGTATAAAATCAAGCACCTAGCCATGCAGTCTGCCTTAACAAACGTTTGTGAAAGAAAAAGTCGTTCTAAAGATCCCACTGAATTCGAGTGTGGTACTGTAACAGGATGCCAGTTTATGAAATTTCTTCGCTCCTAGATGTTCCACAATCAACTTTGAGTGATTTTATTGAAAAGTGAAGTGAAGTGGCACACCTCGTAAAGTCGTAAAGAGGTCGCTGAGTGCTGAGGCGCATAATGCAAAAAAGTCACCAACACTCAATAACTCAATAACTGCAGAGTTCCAAACCTCCTTTGGCATTAATATCAGCACAAATACTGTGCGCCGGGAGCTTCATGGCATGGGTTTCCATGGTCGAGCAGCTGCATGCAAGCCTTACATCACCAAGCACAATGCCAAGTGTCAAATGGAGTGGTGTAAAGCACACTGCCACTGGACTCTGGAGCAGTGAAAACATATTCTGTGAAGTGACTAATCACGCTTCTCTATTTGGCAGTCTGATGGACGAGTCTGGGTTTTGCAAATACCATATTAATGGGTATGGATTTAGATTGGGATGTCCATAGGGTATGTTTGATTTGGGCTGGAGCTGGATTCTGCAGGAAGGTAGATGACCTGGAGCAGGGTTGAGGCTAAACTCTGCAGTAGTGGTAATGTGTTCTCTGGAGTGATGTACATGCTTCATTATCTGGCAGTCTGATGGATGAATCCAGGTTTGGTGGGTACTAAGAAAATGCTCCCTACCGAAATTCATAGTGCCAACAGTAAAGTTTGGTGGAGAAGGAATAATGATCTGGGGCTGTTTTTCAGGGTTTGTGCTCTGTAGTTCCTGTGAAGGGGAATGTTAATGCTACTGTATACAAAAACATTTCAGACTATTACATGCTTCTAACTTTATAGCAACAGTTTGGGGAGGGCCCTTTCCTGTTCTAGCTTGACTGTGCCTCGTGCGCAAAGCAAGGTCTATAAAGTCATGATATTTGACGAGTTTGATAGTGGCCTGCACAGAGACCTGACCTTAACCCCACTGAACACATTTGGAATTAATTGGCACTTCAGTAGTGACCAGCCTTCCCATCCAACATGAGTGTTTGACCTTACAAATGCTCTTTTGACTGATTGGGCACAAATTCCCACAGACACACTCCAAAATCTTGTGAAACACATTTTTAGAAGAGTGGAGCCTTTTTATTGTAACAAAGAGAGCCAACTCCATATTCATGCTCATGGTTTAGGAATGGGATGTCAAACAAGCAAGCTCCTGCAGGGGTGATGGTCAGGTGCTCACATACTGTTGACCATATAGCATATTCCTTTCAATTATTGTGCAATTAAACATGTTAATGTTCAACCAAAAATTAGGGCTCTCCATTATATGGAGCAGAATTGCTCTTCACATCTGAGGTGGTGACCCCTCCTGTACGTACAGTGGGCTGACCACTTCTGTTTTTATGTTCTTGGTTTTCCAGGCGTTGCAACGTTTACCTGCATGATGGGCTACTGGGACCTGAAGGGGCCAGACATGAGCAACTGCACCTCGCCGTGGACCAATCACATAACTCAAAGAGTGAGTGCGCTCAAAATAGCAAAACTCAAAGCAAAATTAGTCCAGCCAATTCAATACAAGTTCTATCTATAATACATAAGTAAAAATTGCAGTTTAGCCTTAGGGATTTTATTGTTTTTATTCATTTAGTTATAATGCTGCTTATCACACAAAAGCAGCTGGATGTGTAAACTGCTTAGAGCAAAATACAGTGAATGAAAAAATGTCATCAGTAGGAAAAAAGAGCCTAAAGCCAAATTTGGTTTCGACCAGCAGTCGAACTTAGGCCCAATTAAGCCTTTGTTACTCTGCCCAAGGACAATACAATTGGTAGCATTGTTCTGTATGTGGTGTGTGTGCCTATAGTGGTAACAGCATAACAATAATGCGAAATGGTTTCCTGTATGTTGCCGAGAGCAAATCTGTAAATAGGCAGAATTGCAAATCTATGAAGCAATTTGTTCCTCCACTTATTTTACCATCCAGGGACGGAGAGCATAAAATCAATAAAAATATACCCACTTACCTCATATCTCTCTTGCTCTCTTTCTACCACTCTCTCACTGTAGATGAGGTCCGGGGAGACAGCCGCTATAGTAGCCCGTGAGCTGGCTGAGCAGACGAAGGCAGAGTTGCGTCCAGGTGACGTTCCCTCCACAGTCAAAGCCATGGCACAGCTGGTGGAACTACTTGATGTTCAGCTTCGGAATCTCACACCTGGGGGAAAAGATACAGCGGCCCGTAGCCTTAACAAGGTAAAGGTGACTCATGTATCATTTGGTTGATAAAATTGGTTGATATTAAGGTTCCACACCCCATCACTAAAGCACTCCTGTGTGGACTATTTGACCAAAAGATTTACACCCCTGCCTTTTAGAGCAGGAACTGATACTGCATGGTCCCTCATGGCCACACAGTGAGCGTTTAGATCCCTTTGTTTTGAAATAAATGTTTTCAAAGTCTGAAAATCAACCTTTTGATATTATGATTTTATGTGTGTACAGCTGTTCAAAGCTCAGAATTAGCTAAAATTGTCATTACGGGAGTGTTGTGACTTTTGTTTGTGACAAAATGGAATATTCAATAAGTCATTTTAATAAAATTAACTTATTATTATTTCATTCAAATCAAAAACATAGTAGTCTAAAATCCATGTCAGCTCTGACTTTGAACCGAGTTGATAGACGGATCTAAATGAGAAGATATAAATAATTAGCACTATACTTTCTTGTTCGTATTTGAAAGAAAAAGAAATATTAAATAATATAATGCTAATTAACTCAACACATTTATGAACTATTTCACCTCTTGCTTTGGAAGTTATGACTGCAAACACATGCATTCGTTTGGTCCTGTTCGTTTAGATTCATGGCTGTTTCTTCCCTTTTAATGATGCATATAAGTGTGACTTGCATTGCCTTCTGAAGAAAATTCAGACTTCAGCTGCGCGGAAAATGCTTAGAGTTTCTTTAGTCAGATGGCATACTGTGCACTGGGAGATCCGCTATACAGACAGTGGGAAATTTGCTTTCCTGAAGCCTAACAGCTTATTAATGTTAACAGTAAAAAGGGAATATTACAGTGGCGATATCTTTCGGCCCTAGCACCCCATGGCCACTTTTGTACCCTTACCTTGTTAATTTTTTCAGATAACTGGCTCTTTTGAAGGAAATGTGTGTTTAGTAAATGATCCGATGCATTGTGACACCTCAGATTTCAACACAAAAAAAATATTTTTGGAAAAATGTAGAATCACTATTTTAAAGCTTATATTCAAAGCTTTGGTTTTCATTTTTAAGATTTAAGAAAAAATGTAAACAACTTTATTGAGCAACATTTTAATAAATTATAATCAGTTATAATTAATCAAATCTAATATTCCACAATCATTGTAGATGAATTGGAGGCAGTCTGTTTCCTCAGTGTGTGTCGGGGGCAGTCTGTATTCTAAATGTGTGGGAGGGGCCTATGTTCTGTGTTCTAAGTGTGGGGAAGGTCTGTGTCCTGAGTGTGAGGGGGTGTGGATCTGTGTCTTGAGGGAGAGATCTGTGTTCTGACTGGAGGGGGAGCTGTGTTCTGAGTGGGAGGGGTCTATGTTCTGGCGAGGGCTATATTCTGTGTGTGCTAGGGGGCTGGATCTATGTTCTGATTGTGGGGAGTCTATTTTGTGTTGACTAGCCTGAACTGAGTCTTTTCATCAGTCATCAATCATCAAAGTGTTTGTACCGTGTGTGTGTGTGTGTGTGTGTGTGTGTGTGTGTGTGTGTGTGAGACCAGTACTGCTAGATTGTATACACTGCAAGGGATTTAAGGTTGTAAACCTGTAGCGGAATCTCTACAGATCAAAGGCTTTAATGCTCTAATGGGAAAAGTTTCTGTTAAAAACATATACTGTTCTAAAGTGCTCTTATATAACACACACACACAGCACAGCACTTTCTGTCTCTTTAACTTTCTCTCGAACAGACACCCATACACACACACACACTTGCACACTCACATTTGTTTTTCTATCTTGCATAGAGTTGTGTATTACTGTTGTCAAGCAATTCTTAGCGTCTTAGTACTCAAGTGTGGACTTAAGGCTGTAAATTAATGGTCTTGGTTTTGTCTTAGTCTCACCATCATTTTAGCTTAGTCTTGTCTTGGTCTCGGGGTAACGGAGACCAAAAAATTCTTTCTTGTGCTTCTTACAAATATCTTTCACCCTGAGGAAGTATGTAAGCAATAATCTTAGCTAAACAGGTACTGCGTTCTATTACTATTTTCCTCTTATATTGTTGTTTTAGAATAATGAGTACAATTGCTGCTTTTTAAACTTACAAGCATTTAAAAATATTCTTATTTGCAAGTGACTGTTAGCTAGTTCATTTAGGTAATGTTAAATAACTAATGGGCTATATAACTGTCACTATATTTAATTCTATTATTACTTGAGTAACCTACCCATTGTCAAGTAATCTTGTTCATCTAAGGCCAAGCTTAATTAAACAGTAACAAACTGTGCCTTTCATGTATTCTAAACTACTTTGCTAGAAACAGATAAACTAGGATGCCTTATAATATACTATGATATAGTATATGCGTGTAGTTTAATGAACCTTGTGCCTTGTAACAGTACTCTTCCTTAAGTAGGAGTTTTCAGTATGCTTTCCACCCCGCCACAATGCAATAATTTAGTCCTAAGTTTCATTTGTGGTGAAAAACAGCGTGTTTTCATATGAGAACCAGCAAAATGTCATCAATTCTACAGATTTTTTCATGCTTTCCTATCATGACGAGGACATGAAGTCCTCACAAAGGGCTTAATACAGGGCAGCTTTATCTTGAAAACACACACAAACACCTTCTCTTTCTTTCAAGGACGCACAAATTAGAGCAGCTTAAGATGCCCCAGTGAGTTTTTCTCTTAACAAAAACAGCAGCAACATGAAAGACTTCAGGAAAAAAGAAAGCTTCAAAAGAAGTCAGGACTCAGGACTTCTGCACACTCTGACACGCACTCACACACATACACACATTTCACATGCGTGACAGAAAACATGCTGAAGTCCTATCAAAAGCATATAGTACATCAAATGCATAATTAAGCATGTTTATTAAGCTTTTTTTTTAATTAGGTTAAGCTACTATAGCTGCTTACAAAACAAGGAGCAAAGCACTGTCTGGGCTTATACAGACACACACACATTTGTATACACAAAGTTTGGGCACCTCTAGCCAAATTATATGTTTCTGAAATTAAAAGAACATGACTGCATCAAACTATTTAAAAAAAAAAAAACATTGTTCTGCAATGCACATTTACTTTGTATTTGCTGAACTTAACAACAATAAATAAAATATTAATTGTGGCGTTTGCAAAACTTTCCAAGTCAGTACATAGTAACACCCCCTTTGTCAGATACCGCAGCTTACAAATGCATTTTTGTAGCCATCTAGGGGTCTTTCTCTTATTTAGGGAATTTTCACCCCCACTTCCCTGCAGAATGCCTCTAGTTCTGTGATATTCTTGAGCCACACCTTGTTCAAGATCTTCCCACGGATTTTCAGTTATGTTGAAGTCAGGGGACTGTGTGGGTCAATCCAAATGCCTCAGCTTGTGTTTCTTGAAGTTCATAGTGGATTTTGAGATTTTGCATCCCTTTCCTGTTGTAGAAGTAAGCCTCTTTCAACATTACTTTCTTTCACTGATTGTCACTTTTTCTTCCAGAATTTGCTGATATTAAGTGTAATCCATTCTTCATCTACCCATACAAACTCAAAACGTAAAAGATTCACCCCTGTGCTTAACAGTTGGCAAGGTGTTCTTTTCATCAAATGCTGCTCCTTTTTTTCTCTACATATTGGTGATTGTGGTTACTTCACTGTGTGTTTGCAAACTCTGGCTTATTTAGAATTTTTGTATGCTTCAGACATTAACTTTTGTGATAGTAAGATTTCCTTCTGATCATGCAGAGCTTGTTTGTGCAAGCAGTTCTGCACAGAAGAATGGTGCACCACCACTCCTGTTTCAGCTAACCATGTTGCATGTTCTTTGCCATCATATGGGGGGTTTGCTTTGCCTTTCTGGCCATCATATGAGAAGTTCTATCAGAATGTTTTCTTGGTCCTCTGGATTTTGTCTGGACTTCCACAGTTCCACTTGACTGCCATTTCTTGATGAGATGTCAGAGGTGGAAATGCTTATTTTATAGCCTTTTTCTGCTTTGTAGGCATCAGTTAGCTTAATTTTCAGACCCTCAGCCAGCTGCTTAGAGCAGCCTATGCTTGTTAATTGTCAGCATACTGTAAATAACATTCTGATTGGTAAGAGGATTTATTTGCATATTTTAAGCTTCTGCAATATTAATATTACAAAGAGAGTATCGCGATAATAATTAATAAATGAGATACTGCACAGCCCTTTCACACTTACATCTATGGATCTATGATATGAATATGTGCAGAAAGTGCATAAAGCACTAATGCACAAGTTGCCTTGCCAAGTCTTGCTGTGAGCTTTACTTCATTTTAGTTTAATAGTTTGTTTCATCAAACATCAGTGGAAATTAATGTGGCTGAATGGCTTCGAAATAATTATTTGCAGGTGCTAAAAGGCTTTGATGAGCTATTTAAACAGTGATTGTAAGTCATTTTGAATGATTCTGACCCTAAGGGTCTGATAAATATTGTAATTATGCTGCTGTATTATTTATTACGAAATGATTGTAGTTATTTTAGCTAATTAGGGCACATTTCTTCTGAGCTATATCTTATTATTGATTGCGGTGTCACTATCGTGTGTGGACGTGAGCATGAATGTAGTGGGAACATTTTTTTGTGCTCTGTTGTTAACTTTACTACTCATTGCTTTTGTGTTTCAGCTTCAGAAGAGAGAGAGGTCGTGCCGATTCTTCCTTCAGGTATGTTGCCTTTATTACTTTGAATGTGAAGATGATGTGAGTTTTCATGTTCATCTATACAGTTGAGGTCAAAAGTTTCCATTCACTGGTAACATTCATGGCATGTATGTCATGGTGGCCTTGGGATTTCAGTTATTTCTTCAACTGTTATCTTCTGTGTCTGAATGATTGAGACATGCTTCTTTGTGTGAATGAATTTGAGTTCTTTCATAAAGATTGGAGCATGGTTTTGTGAGACCTCTGTTCACAAACCCCTTTGGAGGCTCTCTTAGTCCAACAATAATGTGTACTTACAAAAAAAAAGCAACCTGAGATTGAACAATGTTTCACATTATGTTTATGTTACTAAATAACCAAAATTAGCTTTGTGCTAATGTACAATCACCTATTGTATCTATTATGTAACGGCTTTTGTGTAAGAAAATTTAGTTTTAACTGGATGAAGTGATATGTTCTCTTCTTTCAAGCAAAACCAAGTCTCAATGCAACAACAGAAGTAGTCTTGCACATGAGGAGGGGTAAAATGGAAAATCCCATTTCAATGGCGGCAGACTATCCCATACATCAATAATAACTGAAAACAGAGAAAAAAGGCCTGAAAACAGACAAGATTTCTTCATTCTTCAATCTGCAGTGGATTGACCCTAGTATTTTAACCATTTCAAGGGATCTGAGGTTCCCCAATGCCCCCGGACACTGGCCCCAAAATGCCGACCAGTAATTTGTACCTGGGGTTTCTGAAAATATGACGAACTCTGCCAGATGAAAATATACATAGAGCAACTTAGATTATCAATTTGGTGGCGTGAATAGTTCTATGTCACTAAACTCTATGGCATAGCCTCCCAATTCCTCACTAGTGATCATGACTGACACAGCTGGTGACCTCTCCTTGCCCATATGTAGGGCTAGTTTGACTGCATCTGTTAGACTGAACCACAAACATTGCAATAAGAAAGTCTGGGGATGTCTATACAGATCTCAAAGAGTATACTATATATTTTAGGAATTTCACTTGGAGCCATTTCTAAGCACCGGGATCATCTGTGCAAACAATTGTCCGTAACTACAAAGTACAAAGTCAGGAGGAAAACTCAAACTGTCACCTCCAATTCAGCTGCTCACTGAATTAGAGCTATAGATGTTAGCTTTGTGTGTGTAGTTAAAACCAGTGTCATGAATAATGCTTTACGTAGATTCACTGTTTTTAGTGTTGCTAGTTTAACCAAAAAACCAAAAAAGTTTTTGTTAATTTGATTTTGTAATGCGTAAACATGAATTTAGTGAACATTATTACTAGCTGGTGTTTGGACTTGCGTATAGCTGGGACAACCCGCCAGTGACCTCAGCGAGAATATGTGGGCTGTGCTGTTGGTTGAACTCTACCGATTTTGCCAAGTAGAGTGGTCAAATATCTTACCAGAGGTGTACCAGTAGCTTGCTAATGGCTATCAAAAGTGGCTAATCCTGGAGAAAAGTGTTATTTTCAAAGGAATTTGTGCACTCTATTAGTTTAGTTTGATAAGCTATGATAAAAGATAAAAGGCAAAAGTGAAAAGTGAATACTGTTAAATGTATAATAACAATGGAAACAAAGCAATAGAATTCAATTTTATGTTTTATCATTTATTTTCAGGCCATATTCATAAAACGCACAGCCTGATTTTCTGTGATGTTAAGAGCAACAGCTTTGCTGATTCATAAACAAGGATTACCAGCATGTTTTACCGCTTACTCGATGTGAGGCGTTACCACGCTCTTAGCTCATTTACATGTGTCAGTAACTATTCATAGCCTGACACAATCCTGTAAAAATAACACCTGAACCTCTCTAGCAGTAATTTTCCCTGGTAAATCTTGACTGCTGTTGTGGGAGTAGGAGAATTGCTTGAACAGGATTTCAGATTGACACATTAACTGGCTCTGTACCTAAAACAGAGCAACAGAGCATTTCAATTTTCACATATGTAAACTGAATTCCTGAATTCCTCAAGAAAACAGCTTGCCATAGTAAATAGAATTTCAGCTGATCAATTAAATTTTGTATTGTATGGAAAAAGTACCACATGTTAAATCTTACACGCTATGAATAAAATTAAATTATAAGATGGTATAATTGGACTTTTATATACATATACTTTTTTTTCTAGTATAAACAACGTTTTCTGATAAAGAAACTTTGTTTCTTGATTAAAAGTAAAATTATTAAAAGCATCTTTCCCAACAGTGTGTTCAGTGTCTTTAATGTGTGTGACCTCTGTTTACATATCGATTTTGATTGTCTCTTGCATAGGACACCAGTCAAAATACTGCTGTGTTAAGCTGTTGAATACCTTTTGTTGACCGTGCCTCACATTTTGCATGGTGTAAAGCAGTTAACACAGAGTTTTTTTTTTTTTAATCTGGCCGCTTAAGTGCAAATAGTGGACATGACAGAACAGATCATCTCAAGCCAAAAATGTTGCCTAATTCTCGCTGATGATCGCTGTAGCTAGCATGTAACGCTACTGCTGACTAGCCAATAAACGTCTTTATGATGAAAATCCTTGGGCAGTATGCTAAAGAGAGCCTCTTACCCCATGTCTGAGGGCACGTCTTACCTCAAAGGTCTAACTCTACATTTTCAGTTCAAAAGAGATTTAATTGTGTTAACTGTCAGTTGTTAACTGCTGGAATTATTAAACACCTCAGTGTCACTGCTGGACTGAGACTAGTCCACCAACCCAAAATATCCGGCCAACAGCATCCTGTTGACAGCATTCCCATGACCACTGATGAAGAACTAGAGTATGACTAACACAAACAGCAACAGATGAGTTATTGTCTCTGGCTTTATATCTGCAAGGTGGACCAACAAGGTAGCTGTGTCTAATAGAGTGGACAGTGAGTGGACACAGCAGCACTTCTGTGTCTGATCCACTCGTACCAGCGCAACACTTAGTTACACACCACCACCATGTCAGTGTCACTGCAGTACTGAGAATGATTCACCACCCAAATTATACCTGATCTGTGGTGGTTCTGTGGGGGTCCTGACCAATGAAGAACTGAGTGAAAGGGGGCTAACAACATATGCAGAGAAACAGGTGGACTACAGTCTGTAATTGTGGAACTACAAAATGCACCTATATGGTAAGTGGAGCTTAATGCAGTTGCCGGTCAGTGTAATGTCCATTACAAGTGAATGTAAGCTTTTGACCTCAACTGTATATACAATATTAGTCACTGTGTGTAAGCAGATGTTTATTTAAGGACTGAGTATTAGCATCTCTGTGTTAATTCAGTTATATTTACAAAGCTCCCTTTGCAACATGTTTTGCATGTGTGTGTGTCTGTGTGAGTGCACCCCTTTGAGCCACATTTTTTTGCATTTATAAAAGGAGAGCACATTTTTCTTCCAGAGAAAGCACTGATGATGTCAGCACTGGTCAGCAGTGTCACATCAGGAGATTAGCCACTCAGCTATGGAGTATGACACACACACACAAGCACGCACACACACCAAATCACAAAAAAATGAGCAAAGCAGAATGTAGGCAAGGCATAAAATGTGGCAGATGGAGAGAAGGTAAGAGGAGAGAGAGAGAGAATTTATAGTAGGAGACAGACACTACTGATAGAGCTAAATGTACTCCAGCACACAGAGCTGGAAATATCACATATGGAAAAACTGTATGCTAACTGCATGACCAAAATAGTAATTTGTTCATAATTGAAAGGATACAGCTTAATATGTCTCTGAAAGTTTAATTAATCTCCTTTCAGTTTGATATACTTTCAATTTAGTAGCTAAGTGTAGCATACATCATGTTGAATGAATGATGATTTTTGCTTCGGTCGAGTGCAGCTAAAAGCAATCTTAATACCATTTTAATACCACAATGCCACTGTACTGCAAATTGTCACTGCTGGGACAAAACCTCTTCTCCACAATGCTTACTTTTACAGAAGAAGAACATTCTTAAGTTTGAATGGAAGTCAAGGGAAGAAGCTATTTTTCTAAATAATTATGGACCATATGTATTGGTCCATTCATCATGAAACTGTAACACAAATAAAAGGGTAATAGCTTAAAAACTGACAAAAAATGACAGACATGAAGATGCCAGATTTGGTCCCAATATAGACAAAAGGGTATAAACACTGTCACTGTGGCAGTGACCTCGAGGATACATCTTTAGTTAGGGAACATAATTGTACCATTTTCTCTTGCAATGGGAAGGTGAAGGCTAACACATGCTTGCTGAGACACATGAAGCTTGCTACCACATCTTTTCAAACTGCCGTTAACACATCATTCAACTCGGCATGCTTGAAATGAACTGAACACTAATTGACAGTTCTGTTCTGACTAATGGTTGCTGTAGGTAGCATGTAACGCTGATGCTACTTAGCCCATGAAGCTTTATGTAGAAATCTAAGTAAATAATATTTTGGGTGCAGTATAAAGGAGGTCTTCTTGCCCCAGATGTCCAAGTGTACATTTTCACTTTAAAAGAAATTGAAAATTTACAGTACTGTGCAAAATCAGAGACCGCCCTTTGTTTATTGAAGAGATATCAGACAATCCACTTGCATAAGGAAGGGGAAAGTAAAAGATAAATAAAGTAAAAAAAGCAGAGGAGCTTCCAAAACTGGAATTATGGTCATAGATCTTTGAGCTCCACTCTTGCTTCATATCTGAAATAAATCCACAGGGATTTTGTGTCCATCCTTCTGCTGTGAGAAGACAACACTGTGGGTCTGAAAAGATGTGTAGCTGTCAAGAAGCCGTTACTGATGAAAGCAAACTTTGCTTTGGAGGTTTGGAAAAATATCCCTGCATATTTTTTTGAAAAACTAAGAGCAGGTCTTCTGAAAATGATAGAAAAGAATAATAACAAGGATGGACACATTACATACTGAAAATAATGACATTATATTTTGTTGTTGAAGCCGAAAAATGAATAACTTTTATTTTATATATATATATATATATATATATATATATATATGTATGT